TGGAAAAAATATATATACACACACACATATATATGGAAAGAAATCCTAGCTACTTTTTACTACATGAAGACTATCACAATATTGTTTATTTCTTTTTAGATTTTCTCCTGTACTGACCTTTCCTGTACTTATAACCTTTTTGTATGTCACACATATGTAATACATGTGCATGGCATGAAACTTTCTCATGTTATTCAGACGCTTTATATGTATAAATTTAGGTCTGTATTAAAGTGTCCTATTTGAGATTATATAGGCTGTTAACACTTAGGTTACTTCCAATTTTTCATTTTTACTAAATTAATGTAAAGAAAGTCCTTAAACTTAAAAGTAGCCCTTCTCAGTTCCCTCTGTCTGCATACTTTAATTTCTCTAGGACAGATAATCAGAAATGGAATTATGATATTGAAAGAATATGCTCCTTAACCAAATTTAAAGCCCTGAATTCACCCCTCAAGTGAGAAAGGAATTAGGTTACATCTGTTGGCTGAAATTCAACAGCTGTCCAAAGATCATAGACTCAGAGGACCCTAAGGTCGGGGGTTGTATTAGGGGTAGGTTGTGAATGGAAAGGGGACCTGATGGCCAAAGGCCAAAGATAACACTGTGAGTCAAAGGATCCCAACGTGATGAAATTAATGGTGCACTTGTAAAAAAAAGCCTTTTGAGTAAAAAAGTGAAAGGAAGTTCACTGTAGTACCTCACTCTTTTCAATGGCTGTGTCCATAGAGGTTTCTGCTGGTAGGGTGTGCATATTGAATTTGGGCAATTGAATCCTATTTTAGATGCACTGCGAGCTGGATCCCATTTTAGATTGACTCATGTAAGGAACCCCGTGGTGACTCTATAAATCAGAAAGTTCGTTTGCAATGCAAATCTTCCTCTCCTAAGTAATCTTCAGCTCCTTAATTTTACAAATCGTATATTGTAATTTTTTTTCGTTTTGTATATTAGTTTCTGCAAAGTACAATTGTAGGGCACTTGGGGTCCATTTCAGCCGTGAAGTTCGGGGGTCTTGGTGGGAGAAAGTTCTTCTATTCAGTCCTCACTTCAGGGCTGGCCTTGACCTCTGGTTGACAGTTAATGGCATTTGCCTTGAAGGCAGAGCCCAGTGATGGGCCAAGGTCACTGCCAGGGCTAGGCTGTTCCATGTCACCCTAGGATTCTACGGAGCCTGCAAGGTGCTGGCTGGTTAGAAGGCAGGAGGTCAAGGAGACCCAAGAAAACTCAAGAGAGCTATGTGCTGTCTTTAGGGAGAGAAGGCTGAGGTTTCAGAAGGGAACCTTGATCATCAGAGGTGCTGTACTGTCCCTCCAACTCCAGCAAGAGATTAGATTCCACTGAAAAGGAGACAGCACTGCGTCCCAGTGTCCCAGTGGGGTCTGCGAGGTGATGCCAAGGGCGGTGTTGGCAGGTGAGATGGATGAGGTGATACCAGTGCCTTCTTTGAGTTCTTATATGGTGGATCAAGTCTCTACTGACTTGGGTCTCTTTGTCCTGAGCATTCAAATAGAAGAGGCGGGAGTGGAGGGTGACTGCCCAGCTCCCAAGGGACATGACTGAGGTGTGTGACCTGAAATAGCCTCAGCACTGTGATTTCCTTTTACTCTTCCTCATCACCCACTTTTCTACACTGGCCATAGAAACTCAATGAACTGCAAGTCTCATCGTAAATCATGGTAGTGTTTAAAGTTCAGAATGGCTGATTTGATTTCATAAGCCACCTTTGCATAAATGAATGCCATATTTGCACTGGGTGGCATCATTTCCCAAGTCTGGGGGAAATGCTGTGGTAGGGAGGTGCTTCTCTTCCTGCAAGGTTCATGAATCTAATCTTGCAGTTGAGATTGTCTCTTGGTTCCAGGCTTGGTGCTGAAAACTGCTAAATTATCACTGAACTTTGCAAGTTACTATAATTGCTGGGGGATTGGTTAAGTCTCCAAACAATTGGGAGGGGAGCGTACTCTAATACCCATACTTGACTTTGGGAAGATTTGGAAGGAGTCCCATTGAGTCAAAAATGTCTCTCCTGGGGCTTGTTAAAAATTCACATGTGTATTAGTAAATTATTTAACAATCTAGCAGTTTTAAACTTTTATACCATTTATAGTGTCTACTTTACGTTGACTTCTTCATGTTACATGTAGTAATTAATTTTGTCTTGCTGACAGATGATTCCCAATGACTGATGTCAAAGGACATTCCTGACAGGTACATTTTAACCCTTCATTTTCTTTTGCCAAACCTTGTTTTACTCTGGGGAGCTACAGGCAACATCACAGCAACTTTGAGGGATAGGCAGAAGAGTTTGTGGGAACAACCTATATGGAGAGGGAGGGGTTAAGTTTTATTCATACCATACGTTTAATTAGGGTAGTTTAGGGTGGAAAATGGGGATTTAGGGGGGCTCAAAGCTTCCTCAATTAATCTATTTGCTCCCCTGATTGGAGATGCCTTAAGCTATGCTTGACTTAACTCAAGGATACTGGAAAGATTTTTTTTTGCTTTCAAAGACAAAGTAGAAATTCTCAAATTTTATTTAATTGAACAATTGGGGAGAAATTATAGAATGGACCAAATTGAAAGACAGATCTTTTGTTGCATTTTGTTATGTCTTATTTGTTTTGGTCTCTGTTACAAACTGTCTTCCTTAAAACTTGGGTTGTAAAAATCATCCCCATGATGGCGAGCTCTTCAGAAATGAGGGTAGGAAATGGCAGGAGCGGAGGGTGTCCTGCATTGTAACTTTACCAGTACATGAAGTGCTCCTCCCAAAAGCTCCACTTAACTTGTCTCTGGAAGATGTTGGAAGAGGAACCCTGCTGACCAAACAGAGCAAGGTGCAACCTTGTCTGCTATGCATAGCCATTTCTCTCTTCTCATCTTTAAAGTCTCCCTTCCATCCTTCATCCTTATTGTGTAGTCTCTGATTATTAATTCATAACTGTTGGGTTTATACATCTATAGATTTAAAATGATAAAAGTGAATGGAGAGACTAGAGTGTATATAAATTTTAATTTGGGCGAATACCTTGGTCTCTTTGCACTGGGTGGATGGGGGAAAAATGCTCACTGGAGCAAGATTCCTTATGCAATTAATGAGAAAGACATGTAGACTTCCTTTTGCAACTTTTCATCTTGAATGACCTTTTAAATATGGATACCGTCCAACTCACATTTTAATATTAATGAATGGTGTAAAGGTAAATGAAGTTCAAGTTATTCTAATACTCACATAGTAGAAGCTGTGTCTATATCCTGATCTTCTCTGTAGGCTTCTTATAACTTGGTAAGCAGCAGGGAGACTTGAGTGCTGACCCCAAGGATGGACTTGACTGTGGGTGGCTGCATGCTTCTTGGATGACAGTCACTACCCTGTAGCACAGTGTACCCCACAGATACAATTTGTTCATGTTTCATCCATCATCACTCTGACCCTGAACACCACTCATGTGTCCCAAGAATGAAGAACCATTTGTTGGCTGAATACCACGTTTGTATTTTGGCAGAGTTATCCATGCCTTTGCCCAGCTTGATTTTTGTTGGATCAGCTTTGGGGCAGTGCCCTGAAGATAGCAGGTCTAGGTCTGGTTTGCCACAGTCTTCAGGCTCCTGCAACCGCATCCACAGTTCTACTCTCAAGTGTGAGAATTGGCCCCTTTGGGAACTTTCCGCCATGATTGTTTTTTCAGAGAAGATACTGTGGTTTGAGTTGTTTCAGATGAGTTGTATTCAGATGTGGTTTGAGTTGGAATAGCAAAGGTCTTTTTGTGTCACGTGGTTTCTTTGTGCTCTGTCTGGTCTTTACTTTCTGTGGCATCTATTATTACTATCACGTGACCAGGGGGCTTCTCCCCCGCTTATGTACATCCCAACATTTCCTCATGGGAAGTAGTATGTTCTACTGTTTGCATCCATCATTTCTGTCACTGCATTACAGAGCAGTTTCTGGGGAGACACAGGCTTGTATACTCACGTTCACAACAATGGATGCACACATGTCTATGGGTGTGCAAGTGCACAAAGTGTTTTTATGAAGGTGTGCATGTAGCTACATGATCTCAAAAGTGTGCCTCTTGGAAAGGCATCAGGGTGTGTTTGTGACTGCACTCATATAGTGTGTGAAAGTGTGCGCGTAGGAGTGCGTGTGCTTATACATGAAGCTGTCAGTGTGCACATGTGAAAATGTGTGACCTTACCCATCAGTTGTCACCCCTGTGGAACTTGAGCTGTCCAGCTCATGAAGCTCTGCTCCTTGTAATCATTTTCTCCATCTTTCTTTGTGTTAATTATTCATGTGGCGGCTATTAGTGGCCCTGCCCCTCTACCCCATTAGGTCACAAACAGTCTCATTGTATTTTAAGAACACTCATACAGTCATCAAATTGCAAAAAAATCTTTCCCAGCCTTAGTGTCATCCTAGCATTAACTGGCACCTGCCCTCCAGTATTATACCTGCAGGAAAATTTCATCATGTCCAGGCACATTTCCCAAGCAAGGCCACAGAGACACTGTTTTTAAAAATTAATTAAAAACTCTAGATCTCAGAAATTCCAGTAGTTGGTCCCTCCCCTTATCCTAATCTCTTCATGGTAATGCTCACAAGTACCCTGGGTCCAGACAATTCCTCATTCATTCTCCACCCCCCACCACACTCACACCCAAACTCCCCACTACTGGAGATTAGCCTTTTGTGAGGCAGTGCATCAAAAGCTTTCTTAAAGTCCCAGTAAATTATACCCCTGGTTTCCCTCTTCAATTCCTTTTTGTTACTTTTTCAAAATATTCTATTAGTTTTGTTACGTATGATCTCCCTTTTGTGAATCCATGCTGAATATCTTTAATTAAATCATAACTTTCCCTATTTTGTCCCTGATTAGTGTTTCCAATATCTTCCCCACTGCTCAAGTCAAGCTTACTGGTGTTTAATTTCCTTGATCTCCCTCAGAGTCGTTATTAAATATAGGTGTTGCATAAGGGCTCCCGTCCACTGGTGCTCCTCCAGTTTCCCAGGATATTTGTAAAAGGTATTTGCTAATCGTTCCCTCACTTCCTCGCCTCCTCTTACACGGTCTAAGATGGTTCCCATCTGCTCGCAGAGTTATCTGTCCTTAGATACTCTAATTTCTTTCTCACCTGTTCTGCTGTGATGCTGATTTCCTTCGGAAATATTTTCTTCTCCTTGGGAAATGCTTGTCTGCAGCTGGCATCTGCTCTCTTCTTCCCTTTATGGATATGAAGGCAAATAATTTATTTTTCATTTTTATTTAGCAGTCTTCACCCTTTATTGCAGTAAACCAGGCTCCCTACATTTTAAGCTAAAGCATTGTACACCACTTTCCAGGACTACCTTACTAAGCCCAATTTGGAAGCTGGTATTTCCTTCCCCAAGGGTTGATATTCAGGGCAGGGAGCCCTGACCCTGGATGGCTACTGTACTTTTCACACCCTCAGCTCCTCGAGGGAAGAATGAAGTCCTGAGCTCTCCCTGACAACTTTTACTGGGAGAACCCGCCTCTCCGCCAGGGTTTGAGGGAGTTGTAAAGTTTCCCACGTGTCGTTTTAGAAGGCTTTCATCTGAAGTCAGCTTCAGCCTGGAAGTTCTCCTTTGCTTTCATTCTACACAGTGCCTATGATTCTCCCGAGTGCCTGATGGATGTATTTCGCTCTCCTGTGGCTCTCACCTCCAGGCAGTCATGTTGCCTCAGCCTCAGATGGAATGAGCTTCCTTCTCCACCTCCGTTCCCATGACATACATAAAAGGCTGGCCCGTGGAAGGTGCCCAGTGCCGGCAGCTGCTGGTGCCCGCATCAGGGAGGTGGGCCACAGGGCGATTCTGAGCCCCTGACCCGAAGCCCCTAGGACCTCCAGGGAAGCTCAGTTCCTTCTTTGCTTGACCTCATTTTCTTTTCCAGAATACACAACCCCGGAAGATCTGTGTGCTGAAACCACACCCTCGGTTGCAAATTTTACACCAAATCAAAAGCCCAAATCCTTCCTAGAAACCAACAGGCCACTCAGCCAACCTGCATCATGCCAAATAGCCTGCACCCATGCTGCCACTGGGCCTGTTCAGCTGCCCGAAGAGGTTGCAGAAAGTCCACCCCCACCCCCACCCCACCGCCCCCGCCGCCCCGGTGCAGGCGATTCGCTTTATGCGGCCAGCAGCTTCCCCCACCCAGTTGCAGAAACGACATCAACCAAAAATTCCAACGAAGTATGAGTCATAAACGGTCCTTTTGACATCGTCTCACATCAAAAGACACACAGTCTGTGTTGTGTCCCTCATCCCTAACACGGGAATGGCTGAAATTTGCACACACAGAGGGATTTGAAATTTTAAAAGCTTAATAAAGGCAGCATATATATACACTCTAGTCAGTTTTCTAAAAAGTGCATTTAATTGGGTCAAATAGCATGTTACTTTAGGGAAAATTGAAGATCGTTTAAACTCACTCTTGCAGTTCTCATGTTGTCTTTGAAAACTGATTGCTCGGCGCTGACCTAGCGGATAGGATGAGCGAGAGGAGGCGAGGAAGAACCTGGCCAGGCGAGAGCTCGCTCTGAGCCCTGGGCGCTGCTTCTCAGCCACCCTGTTGCCACAAAAGAGGTCGCTGTCCCTTAACTTTCGGGCTGTGGGACGAGACGACCGGGCTCGTCATTCCAGAGTTCACCAAGATCCCGGCACCTGGTCCCAGGCTCTGGAACTACTTCACTAAACACCCGACAGCTGCCCCAGACAGAGAGCCCTCCCGTCAGCCCCCAGCGCCGTTCCAAAAGCAATTTGTAGATGGACTTTGTAAGCGAAAATAAGAGTGACAGGTGCTCCATAATAATTACTTGCACATTTACAGAATCGGACATTCTGTCATTTAATAGACCTAAAACTAAAAAGCTTCTGTCTGTGAAAGGTGACCAATAGAAACCGAGTTTGGATTATATGATATCCCATAACTTAATCATATAGCTCTTAAGAGGGGGACATACACAGCTGTGTCTCACTAATATGTATGCAATATGTGTAAACTGATACGCTTTAATTCCAAACTTGTTTTTAGCAGGAAGAAAAAAGCATTTAGATGAGGAACATTAAGATTCAATATTAACCATTTTTTCCCCTTTGGGCAAAATTATTCATCACTTGATATTTATTAAAGCAGCATTTTTTGCTATAGCAAGATATATCCTGCTGAAAATTTCCCAAACATCCTCAAAGTTATGTGGCAAAGTGAAACGAGGAAAACAGCCAGTGGCTTTTTTTTTTTTTTGTCCCCACAGAAAAACAATGGACTTGAAAGATGGACACTTGTTCTTCTGAAGCCTTAGACTCATCCTAACCCCTCAGACTTAGTGACGGGGCAAAGGTTGGATAGTTTGGGAGGGGTTTCCAGTTTTCCACCTCCTCTATTACATGTATTTGATTTCCCCTCGCTCACTGACGTTTTAATTGTTAGTTTGTACTGCTGTAGTCTGAATTATTTAAGTATATTTGCTTTAATAATCTTTTAACCTAAAAAAAAAAAAACTAAGACAAAGGAATTGTAGATTAGAGACTTTATTTTCAGGGCAAAATGATACGGATAAGTGAACATCAACTGACCAGAAATTATTTGCTTCTGTCTGTTAGACACGTAATGGAGTCATTTAACCAGTCAAATTAGGAGCTGCAGAATGCACCATGCTTCATTACTGAGTTCGAATGGGCACCATTTTACATTTACGTCAAAAATTATCTCATAGCAAATTAATGTTTTCATTGTGCCGAAAAGCTGGAGCTACGCAGTGTTAGCACCACCTAGAGGCCGATGCGAAAATACTTTGAAAGGATGCTAGGCTAACAGAGCCAGGGTGATCCGTAGATTAGTGTTGGCCCATTGGATTAAACCCCGAGCTGTTTGGAGAGTAAGAACGCAGGGACTGAACTTTCTTGGTCCGCACGGCTTATCAGGTGAAGTTTCGGGGATCCCATGAAGGTTTTCCTTGGCCCGATGCTAAATTCACTGAAATACTTGAGATTCCCACCTGCCTCCTGCCGTCCTGAAAATATCTGTGCTTCCCTGTCTCACACTTTGCTTGAGATTTTTTTTTCCTTTTCCACCTGCAAACTTACATTATATCAAAATCTCAGATTTTAGCTGAATGAGCATTTTGCGGGGGTGGGGGGGAAGCAAGAAGAGATTTTTCTCCCGCATTGTGAATTGGCCTCTTTGTAAATCTTTTCTGTTGCTGGTAAAACTTATCTGCGTAAAGAGACAACACGAGGCTTTGTTTCATTTTAAAGATACTGACGCTGGTAAATTCTCTGTCCAAGCAGGTTATGAGGGCTGATGGACCTCCCCAGGAGTGCTGGTTTCAGTTTAATTCTGAGAGAAATCATTTGGAATAAAACGGCAAACCCTTCCCAATAAAAATATTTATTAAAACGATCTTCAGGCAGTCAGTGGCTCTGGGAAGCGGAAGCGCACCATCAGAACAGAGGCAAAGAGGAGAATCGAAGCATATAAATAGCATTGAGAACTGGAGAATATTTCCAGACAATATTGATGTCTAAAATATATGTGAATGACTGCATAATGATCCAGGCAGACATAATTCAAAGTACAGTCAGAATCTGGCCTCCAACTCAGAGCTTTAAATTCTCCAAAAGACATCTGTTTGCTGAGAAAGTCTCACTAGCAGCTGCTCCATGTAAAGGAGGCAACCCAGGGTAAAGTGGGGAGACGGCAGGTACAGGTGTCAAAGAGCTGGTGGCTACTTGCACGGTAGGCACGGTGATCAGCACCGATTGGACACAGGTGAAGGAGATGCTGAATTTCTTAGAACCAGGTAACAAATATTGCCTCCCGTGTTTCATTGGGGAGTGCCCCATTTATAGTGTCTATGGAGAGCAAGTGTGGGGTTGCACCTCTTAGATACTGGCCAGACGATCTGACTTCACCCCTCCAAGCCTTAGCATTCTTCAGCAGCTTCTGCTCTTCCTACTACTTAGCTCTTTCTCCAAGGAGAAGCTGGGGTCAACAGGAGCTCCAGGTGTGATTTTTCAGATCAAAATATTATTCTGTGATTAACAAAAAGAGAATACACACAAGCGAATAGATTGACACCCATTCTACTCCTCAGTATGACTCTCAAACGATCGTTTTGTTTTTTTTTTTTAATCAAAGCGCTGCCCGCCAACCTATTTTTCAGACCGGAAAAGAAAAAAAAAAAAAAAATTCCTCAGCAAATACTGTTAATTCTCCAGTTTCTGCAAAGATGCTGTATTTTCAGATTTCAAAGAGAGGATTCCTTTTGAAAATAAATAATTGTTGGTGATCAGATGAGCCTGCTAAGTACAGTATTTTCAACTCACGCTGTGTTGAAAAGTTCAAGAATTTTGCAGTGACCCCAAGGCCACAGATAGGATAATGCGAGATGGAAAGACGAGGCCAGTGTCTGAAGGCGAGTTCTCTTTTGTTCTAAAGGAGGCTTTTTGTGTGTGTGGCTTAAGCTAGTGGTTCAAAAGGATTTCTTTGAAACAGAAACAAAAATGTTAAGAGCTGGTTACAAGTACTCAGGTCTTCTCTTTTCCTTAACATGCAGGGGGAATTTTACTTCTTCTCATGAATCTTGTCTGCTGAAGTGTCTCAGTCTTCATGTTATGTTTACCAAGGCCGGGCCAGAGGATCCGATAATTTATAACCATTCCTATTGGGTTTTATGTAATAACTTTGGAACTCATATAAAGTAATGATCCACAAACTCTTTTAATGTTCATTATAAAATATGAAATATTTCTCAGAACCATTGCAATTATGTGACCAGACATAACTGTTTCACACATGAGTAAATACAGGGAGGTTTAACATAACTTTATTATCTTCCTGTCTTTTCTTCTCATTGATGTGATAATACTGTTTTAATATTTTTCTAAAGAAAAGTTAAGTAATTTTAGAATCTCTACTGAGGCCCGCTTTATTGGCTTTTGTAATAGAACTCTCAAATCTAATTGTATTTATGCTCAGACCGACACCAGTAAATGTCGTGAATGGAAGGGAAATGCCCCCAAAGCTGTGTGTGCTGTAATTATCCAGAGATCCGTCTCTGCTGACGAGGCCTGGGGATTTGGGGAGAGTCGGGGAAGGGAAAGTGAAGAGGAGCCCCAGTTTCTGCAGCTCTTCTAGGCCCCAGTAGACAGTGAGCTATTTCCTGATTCTTTTCCTGTTCTTTCTTTTCTTTTCTCTTCCCATTCCTTTCTCTGTCATTCCTCTACTCCCCTTTCCTTCACTCTCCCCTACTTTTTCCTTCCTCCCTTCCTTCCTTCTTTTCTTCCTTCCTTCCTTCCTTCCTTCCTTCCTTCCTTCCTTCCTTCTTCCCTTCCTTTCTTCCTTCCTTTAATCTTTCCTTCCTTCCTTGTTTCTATCCTCTTTTTCTTTTGTACTGGGAATTGAACCCAGGGCTTTCACATTAAGCTTAATATATATTGCACTTGTAACCACCTTATTTATTTATATATGTATATATTTATGTATTTATTTATTTAGATAAGTGTTTGTTAAGTTGTTAAATTGCCCAAGCTGGGCTTAAATTTGCAATTCTCCTGCCTCAGCCTTCCAGAGATGCTTTTTCTCAAGAACAAAAGCCCCAGGATTTGTTTGACTCCCAATGAAAAATAACCATTTTTCCCCTTGACTCTCTGATGCCTGTTTTCTCGGACGTCTAGTATTGTGTGGATGGAACTTCTTGTTTTATTAGAAGGCTGATCTCTAAGGAAATTTTTCTTGGGATACCCAGCCTGGTGCTTTGAGTTGAGTGGCACCTTTGGGGCTGCTTGACCTTTATCTGAGTTTAAGGGGTCCTCAATCCACAGGTTACAAGTCCCTATGGTGAAGGAGGCCACAAGGGGTTACTCTGAAAAATCACATCCTGCTCCTCATCTGGGTGGTGGGAGCAGCAGCAAGAAGGCAGAGAACAAAGAGGTCACAGAGCATCGATCTCAGCCATACTTGCACATCCAAATGATGACTATCTAGTCTCACGAGGTTGATGGGAAAAATTTAGCACAAAGCAAGGAGCTGCACATGAGCCCTTCCATCGATGCAAGGAGGACGAGGGCCTGTGGTCTTTCTTCTGGGAGAC